GGCGCTCACACACTTACACACACACCCATCCTCTGGATGGTTAAATACAGTTAAACACTTGTGTTGAATACAATGAAGTAACTTCTAAATACAATTATCATCATTCTTGCACATGTTTCAGTTGTTGGTCAGTGCTCTGTAGAAAAAAAAATGGGGAAACGGGATTTTGTGAACACTCTGTGTAGTATAATTCACACAACTGCAATGGCTGTGAATTTGGGTCACAAGACGAAGCAGTCAGATTCAAGACCTACCTCTTTGCTCGTGCTTTTGCACATGTCTCCCCTCCCCACCCCTTGGCTCCCATCTCCAGCTCGGGGGCCAAGTCAGCAGTGTCAAGCGCTTTCGAGACATCCTCCCGACGTGGAAGGCAGTTTATTGTATAAATGTAAATTGTACTGTATTGTATTACAAACAGGATATAATTTCCTGCGAATTCTAAGTGAGAAAAAACAATTTAATTCATCTGATTCTCACTGCAACCCATCAGCACTGCCAGAAAGATAACATCAATGAACCATAGCAAATCATAGCAAAGAGGTTACAGTGACCAGTTTTTGGTAGCTGAACGCCAAGGCCAATTTGCACACAGTAATGTCACACAAAACAGCCTTGAGGTGAATGTCCTGTCTTTCCTGGAGACAAAAACAGAAGTCGCTGGGAACACTCAGCAGGTCAGGCAGCATCTATGGAGAGAGAAAAGTGAGTCAACGTTTCAGGTCCATGATTCTTCGTCAGAACTGGGGCATGTTTCCTGGAGGTTTGTTGGTGAGGACAGGCGAACTCTCTTCTCAGTGTGATGGTACCAGAGTGCCTCTAGCTCCAATGGAACCGTATAGCAAAACGGGACAAAGTGCTAACAACAACAAGATTACATTTCACGTTGGGAGGACGACCTAAGGCGCAGTGTACAGCATTTGAGACCCGAGGTGGGGTCGGGGCGGGTGGGGGGGAAAAGGGAGGGGAGGGGAAGGGGGGTGGCCGATGGCATGGTCAAAGAGGAGGGACTTAAAGGAGGCTAAGGAGGGTCGAGGCGGAGTGATTGGTGGATGGAATTCCAGAGGCTGGGGGCAGAGTGGCTAAAGGCTCTCCCACCAATGTTGGGGTGGGTGGGACGGGGCACGTGGAGCAGGCCAGAGCCAAGGGGAGGGAGCGGGCGGGTTGGTAGGGGGTTAGGATGTCGCAGAGGTAGGGTGGGGCGAGGCCATGGAGCGCTTTGTAGGTGAGGACCAGGATCTTGAACTGGATCCTCTGAAGGATAGAGAGCTAAAGGGGACAAGGGGAGGCACATCAGTAATCTCAAGACATTACAATTTCAAGCACCTTAAAACTATAATGGACCACAAAATAGACAGTCAGTTTACTTTACAGTGTATCCTGTGAAGCATTTTGAGATGTCGCGAAGATGTGATAAGGCACTATATCAAATAATAAGTAATAATGATAATCCTTCAGTTTGATGTAGCACCTTATCACATCTTTGAGACGTCTCAAATGCTTCACAAGGATTATTATTATATGGTGTAGTCTTTAACACTCTCACCTCTGAGTCAGAAGGTTATAGGTTCAAACCTTGTGTCGGGGATTATAGGCCGACACACAATACAATACTGGGGGAACGCTGGTTGCATTGTCGGAGCAGCCGTCCTTCAGATGAAATGTTAAACCGATTTCCCTTCTGTGTCTGTTCAGGTGGACATTAAAGATCCCGCGGCACTATTGGAAAAGAGAAAGGAGTTTCTCTCTCCCGGTGTCCTGGCCCCAGATAAAATTGGTCATTTACTTTGTGGCTGTTTGCAGGTCGCTGGTATGCGAAAATTGGCTGCCGCTTTCGCCCACAAAACACACAGCACCTGCATTTGTGGCAATTCTCTGCAAAACTCTCTGAGATGTTTGTTATAACCTTCGCATCAAAGCGAGTGTTATTATTAATATTATAATAAATACCGGCGAGAAATGATTGAGTGAACATTATTACTCTGTTATGAAACCAAAGCTTTATAAATCCTCCCCTCCTTCCCCTCTCTCCGTTCTGTTGCCTTTTTGATGAGGAGTGAAATCAATTCTGTGGTGATGGGCAAGATAGAGGACACATTAATCGTAAAGTGGATTATCATTCAGAGAAGGAGGTAAACAACAATGAGGCGGAATCTCATTAGGACCTGCATCCTCTTGTCAATGACAACAGCAGCTGCCAGGCCCCCAGCAGGTTTGCTTGGCAACAGCTCTAAATATACACCACAGGAGGAGCCATATCATTGCGCTCACTAAACAACAGTGATGGAGGACAGAAGAAGGGAGAGAGAGAGAGAGAGAGAGATGGTGGGGAGGGAGATACAGGACGGAAGGAATGAAGGAGGGAGCTAGAGGGGAGGGAGAAAGCAAGAGAGATAGAGGAAGAAAGGGGAGACAACAAAAACAACTTGCATTTATATAGCGCCCCTCGTGCAGAGTAGCGTCCCAAGAGACACAGGAGATGAAGGGAGCGAGATGGGGGAGGGAGAAGAGGAGGCAGTATGGCTCAGTTTATAGCACTCTCGTCTCTGAGTCAGAAAGTTACGGGTACCCATAGAGCTATTGGGAAAGCGAAGGGAATTTCTCTCTCCTGGTGGCCTGGTTGACAATTCTCCAGATAAAACTGATCATTCACTCTAATGGCTGTTAGTGGGAGATTGCCGTGTGCAAATAGCTGCTGCGTTCAACTAGAAAGTATAATTGCTACACTTTACAGAAACCTCTGCGAACCTCTTTGAGACAATGACGTGATTAGGTGCTTCATAAAATACAAGGATTATTATTATCATAATGGACTAAATGGCTTATTCCTATTTTTGGGGACAGGAAAACACTGAAAATCACAGAACATTCACTTGGCTGGTATTAGTATATCTTGGATTGACAAGTGGGGCATAGTCTTAAAATTACAGCTTGGCCATTTGGGAGTGAAATTAGAAAGCAGTTTTTCACCCAAAGGTTAGTAGAAATCTGGCACTCTCTCCCCCAAAAGGCTGTGGATGCTGGATCCATTCACATCTTCAAGACTGAGGTGGATAGATATTTGTTAGGTCAGAGTATCGAGGGATACGGGGCAAGGGCGGGTAATTGGAATTGAGGTACAGATCGGCCATGATCTTATAGAATGGCAGAACAGGCTTGAGGGGCTGAATGGCCTACTCCTGTTCCTATGTACTTACTGCGAGATAAACAGAGGTGTGTGGAGTAAAAAAACTTGCCTAACGTTTCGCCCTGCCCGGGTGAGGCCAGCTCTAACCATCAAGCTACAGGTGTCCACAAATTAGTGGGGCAGTTTTGTGTGGACAACATAAGGCACAATATGAATTGCAAGTCTGATTGTTATCAACAGTCGTTGTTGTGTGAGCTGTAGGGACGAGCAGGCAAGCAGGCAAAGAAGGAGTTAATGTGTAGAGAGGTCACAAATTCAGAGGAGGGAGGGAGAGAGCGACAATCAATGACTGACGTGTGCACAGCTGGGAAGGAAGCTAGTGGCAGCTGGGAGCTGGAGTGTGGGGAAACGCTGTGAAAGGAGGGGCAAAGAAAGGGGTGCGGCAGCTGGTCAGGGGGAGGTGTATCCCCTCACTGTCGGGCGTCTACCTGTACCCGGTGCTGAGAAGGGTGGGTCTTGGTTGAATTACCTCAAAACGTTCCACAAAGTTGGAGCCGAAGCACCTGCTCTATGCAGAGAAATTTCTGACGAACACCATCCCAGATCCCCGAGCAATCACCAAGTGGTCCGCGCGGCAAGTCGTTGAAACCGTTCGAAAGGGGGAGAGGGCAGACCCAATCGGGAAGTACCCTGCAGTGATGGTCAGCTACATCTGGCAGAACGCCTCATCACCGGCCCTGACCAACAACCATCAGGACATGGCCTGGCTGGCAATAAAAGAGACCTCAACCCTCCCCTTCAGGACTTTCCTGCATGGTCAAGCCTTGTCCAGTCAGCGCTGATCTCGAGTCAACTGCAGAGGCAAGGAGACTGTGGACCACCTCTTCTTGGAGTGTTGGTACGGGAAGGTGGTTTGGGAACAAATGGAATAGCTGCTCTCGCACTTTGTCCCTGGGTCCCTGCCATCACGGCACTCGGTGCTGTACGGCCTCTTCCCGGGGACACACAGCGAGACCCACATTGAGTGCGCCTGGAGGTTCATAAACTCGGTGAAGGGGGCCCTTTGGCTCCCAAAACCAGGTGTTCTGAGTATGCATTGAGGGATAAGCTGAAGCTCGGCTCAACAGTGCAAAGGCCAGATGGGGCCTGACCCCAGCTGGAGCTGCTCCTGTGCTCACCGCGCCCTCATCGGCATCACATCCCCACCTGCCAGGACCCCTACCTAGGGCGGGGGGAGGAGGTGGGGTGGAGATATTGGGGCTGCTCAATGGGTAATCCACCAACACACCCAAAACTGTAAATAAATGTGTGTAACCCAACCCTGTAAATGTAGAGGGACGCTCGAGATGTAACGAAGAGAGTCCCAAAAATATATGTATGTCTGCCTGCTTCCCCCCCAAACATAAAGGGGGAGCAGGAGGGATTTAGGTAAAGTCTCACCGTCCGTGAAATGACGGCAGAGCCTGGACTAGCCACCCGAGTAACTGCTCCCTGTTGCTAAAGGGCACAGAGCCCCGGCAGGTGGTGACGAGGCTGGGACTGGTTGGGTATATAGTGCATGTGTATGGGTTTGTGTTTGCGAGGTTTCCGGGCGTGTGTTTGAGTAAACACAGTTGCGTACGGTGTACATCAGGGCGCCATCCGAAAGCGGCAAGTGGGCTTTATCAGGGTGTGTGGGCGCGCACAAGGATGTAGTGCACACAGGGGAGATTCCCACCTGTCTTGAAGGGAGCATCCCNAAAAAATGTGTGCACATTCTGTATCCTGCCCACACTCTCCACGAAGGGGTGGGGAAGGGACAAAATGTTGCATCTTCTTTTCTGTAACGGGTTTGATACTGTCTGAGATAAGTGTAAATATATATCAACACATGTACATATATATTTATATATAATTTGTTCAAAAAAATCTGTTCCTATCAGTTTAATATCTGATCAGTGCCCGATCTGAGGACCATATATTGAATTGATTGGAACAGGGAGATGGAATAGGGGCTTGGTCCCTCCACTCCACACATGGACCTGGTATTGCAGGGTTTCCAGGCACACAGCACTCCTTCTTCAGATCTCAATCAATGAGGCATAGACAAATCCTCACTCAACTCCCACACTGAGCAGCTGCTGTGGGATGGTGTGGGGCTTGCTTGGTGTGTGTGTGTGTGGTTGGTTGCTCACCCAGAAAACACACAGGGCACTTTACGCTGTTTACGGTGTGAAGCACTTTGAGATGTGTGGATGACATAAGGAGCTTATATTTATATACGAGTTTAGAAGGTTGAGTTGTCATCTAATTGAGTTTTTTTTAAATAGTAAAGGGATTCGATAGGGTAGCTACAGAGAAGTTGGACAGGAAACATAAGGCAATTTCTCAGTCCCTGTTGTTGTTGATAGTAGTAGGTAATAATAATCTTTGCATTTGATATAGTGCCTTATCACGTCTTTGAGTCATCTCAAAGCGCTTCACTGAGTATACTGTAAAGTGAATTGACTGTTTTTGTGGGCGAAAAGGACAGCCAATTGCACACAGCAGCGTCCCACAAACAGTCGTGGATTGAGTGACCAATATTGTGTGTAATAGTTGCCATCTAGGGTCCGTGCAACCCACTGGAGTCTGATCAGATGACAAGAATGGGGAGCACAGCTATCACGGACCACAGTCACTGAAGGGTTCCTCATTATGGGGAGCAAGATCTGTGCACAATGAAGGTTTTAAAGCCACCTCTAACACATCAGTGTACAAAATGAAGCACTAACAAAGGACACACACTAACAGAAGTACAAGTGCTGATTTTTAGACACACCGACCTTTGAATGAGGCATTTCATAGAATCATACAGCACAGAAGGAGTCCTGTAGCTCAGTGCTTAGAGCACTCACTTTGCAAGTGAGAGACCTGAGTTCAATTCCAGGCAGAGGGCGAAACCTTGGGCAAGTTTCCTTACTCCACACAGAGCCTAATAATAATCCCTCCAAAACCAAAAATAAATTGGTCATTTTCAATCTACGACTGTGTGTGGGACGCTGCTGTGCGCAATTGGCTGCCGCGTTCGCCCACAAATATAGTCAATTCACTTTACAGTATATTCTGTGAAGGGCTTTGGGATATCTAGAAGACGTGAAAAGTGCTATATCAAATGCAAGGATTATTATTATTCGGTCCTTCGTGTCTGCACTGGCTCTTTACAAAGAAATGCCAAATCAATCCCATTCCCCCGTTCTCTCCCCATAACTCTGCAAACGTCCTCCCCAAATAATCAGCTAAAGTGCGGTTCTGTCTGCCGGTTCAGGTAGACGTTAAAGATACTATGGCACTACAACAACAACAACAACAAGATTCCATTTATAAAGCGCCTTTCACATCAGGAGGACGTCCCAAGGCGCTGCACAGTTGGGTCATGACCCGAGCAGGGGGGAAATGGTCAGGGTGAGGGGAGGGAAGGAGGGAGGGAGCGAGGAGGAGGAAGAGAGTCGAGAGGGGAGCTGAAGGCACGGTCAAAGAGAAAGGTTTTGAGACTGGCCTTGAAGGAGGAAAGGGAGGAGGCGGCGAAGGCACTGGGGATGGAGTTCCAGAGCCTGGGGGCTGAGAGGCTGAAGGCCCGACCACCGATGGTAGGGCGGTTGGGGCGGGGACGTGGAGCAGACCAGAGCCAGAGGAACGGAGGGTACGGGCAGGTAGGTAGGGGGATAGTAGGTGAGAGGTAGGAGGGAGCAAGGCCGTGGATGGCCTTGTAGGTGAGGATGAGGATCTTGAAATCAATCCTCTGGGGGATGGGGAGCCAGTGGAGGCGAGCGAGGGTGGGAGTGATGTGGTCCCGAAGCCTGGTGCTACTTGAAAAGAGAAAAAAGAGAAAAGAGAAGGGAGTTTCTCTCTCCTAGGATTCTGGCCAACAATCCCTCAAATAAATGTGGTCATTCACTTCAGGGCTGTTTGTGGGACACTTATGTGCAAATTTCTGCTGTGTTTGCCTACATTATACAGTCACTGGCCTTTATAGTAAATCATATGAAGCACTTTGAACCACCCTTCCAACATGAAAGGTTATATTAAAGGCAAGGATTATTTTTTTTAAAAAAATGATATAAGAATATCTTAAGTCTTAAATCTAAGAATATGTTATTAGATATTCTTAGACTGCCTTAATACACAGTTAATCTCCTGAGCCTATTACTGCCCTATGCCCAAGAATTTACTGCAAAGGTAACAGAGCGAAAGGTTATGAAGATTATTTGCAAATTAAATTACGTAAACATGTCGTAACAAAATCCCATTGCACATTTTACCACCGTCACCTAGTCAGATTAGCCCGACAATTGCTGTCTGTATACCTGTCCCCTTGGAATAAGTGAACTTCAGCAAAGTTACTGGAAACTTGGATAGCTTTATTGAGGTTTGCCTTTGGCACTCTGAACATTGCTATTACTGTACTGACCTAGTGCAGGATGGTATTAATAGCCTACCTATTGCCTGAGAATAGCATGGAGGAACCAGCTACAATGCAAAAATCCAACCCAATCCAGTGACCACAATTGCTGGTGAAACCCAGTCCACATGGATGTGAACACTGATTACTATTGAGTATAGGAGACATTTGGCCTGAAACCGTTTAATGAAATGGTGTGTAAATGAACATGGCATTTGTAAGCAGGGATATACTGTGAGAAGACTTTTGACCTTACCCCCTAACCCCTGATAAAGTAGGCAAGGCACAAGCCACAGGTTTAGCTGTCTACCCATTAACACTGCATGTCAATTTGTTTTGAACAAAGCTGGGTGTCTGAAACGTAACCGTATTTAACCCAATCCAAACCAGACAGTTCCACATATGTATGCCACCCACCCACAGTCATTTCCTTGTGTCTAATGCAACATACACTCTCCCTGAGGGATTCATCTGCTTAACTAATTCCAAAGAGTGGTAGGCGCAGGTCGGTGAGCGGAGGCTTGGGGACCACATTCTGTTGGTGTACAGTGAAATTCGGCTAACTGAATATCAGATAATTGAATAATTCAGGTTATCGAATAGAATTTAGAAATCCCAAGCCATGTCAAATTTAAGGATATGGATCAGCTAATTGATACTGTATACGAATATCTCAGTTTATTACATAATTTTCCTGTGACCATTCCTATACAATTAATTAATCCGAGTCAGAATAAATGCATAGACCCAAATCACTATAGTTTGTAATACAAAGCTGTAGTCTCAGTAAAGCCTACATTAGGATTGCTCAGTTTTTTTTAAATGAAGCAACAAATTTCTGGAAAATGAGTTTTGTGTAAACGATGCTTGTTTTGCTACCGTTGCTTTTGCTGTATGTAAATGCACATCATACTGGCATTGAGATTTGACCCATCTGAATTCAAGTCTGGTTAAATGAATAGTCCGGTTTAATGAATCATTGACTGTCAAATTAAGAATACAATTAACCAAATTTCACTGTACTGCAAAAATGGAATAGCTTGCCGTTGAGAGCATTGCCATAGGATGTGTGTATATGAATTTAAACGTTACTTTCTGTTTAGTGGATTTCAGTGATATTGATTAATAAACTGGCAAGCTTCCCGCTGCGTGTCCAGCTAGTCTCAGCCTGCCCATTAGAACTATAACTTGCTTTTATATAACGCCTTTCACGCGGGGTAGTGTCCCGGAGCACTTTACTGTACACTGTAATTAAAAAAACGTGACTGAATGGCTGTTGTTCACTGAGCAGTGGGAGCGGCCAGGGTTGAAAGCTGCAGAAGGCAGTAGGGTGGGGCGAGGTTGTGAACAACAAGAAGATTATGTCGGGAGGACATCCCAAGGCGCTAAAGGGATTTAAACAGGACGACGAGGATCTTGAATTTGGAAAACAGGAACCAAGGTCCTATTCATGGCAATAAACTGATGTTCCTATATTAACAAAATGGCTGCGCAATGGATGAGCAACTTTCAGAGGACAGGAAAGTTACATTTTATTGGTAACCAGAGCCTCTTACAGTAGTTATTTCAGCACTACTAGTGAAACTATGAACGTCACACTAGATTAACTGATGCAACCAAATTGCATGTGCAGTATTTAAAGACTGCACAGATAATCTCAACACATATTCATCTATCACAAAGCAATTTTTACACTTTAATACCTACTCCTTCAAAACCACATATATGCAAAATGACCATTACTTCTCGTATCTGTTAACAGCAGAGTTGAAACGTAGCCCTGTTTGAAGGTTTGATTAGATTAAGCAGCACATTGCTGTGGTGCCCTGTGTAGTGTTACACTCTGATATGGTGAATTTGGCAGGTCAACTCAATGTTTGCAGCCACACTACTCCATGACCTCACCATTGGCAAGTAATTATAGTCAAATATCACTGGACGAGGCACCAAGGATTACACAGGGGATAAATAGATACATCTGGTGGTCAGAACACTTTTCTGGACCCGAGGGAATATGTTGACGTCAATAGCATATATTTTGTTCCTCTATTACAAGTGTGACTTTTTTTGGAACGTGAAACTGCATGATAACTTCTTGTTGATGATGCAAGTTATTAATATCTTTTTTTAAAATAAGTATCAGGAGACATCAAGTCATTGGAACTGCCGAGGATGGGTGGCAGAGTAGATTAACACTTTTTCTTTCACTTTGTGTGTTGGGTTTGATCACACCCAAACTGGCTGGTAAAACTCTTCCAGCGTGAAAGGAATTTGGGCAGATTGTAAACTAGAGACTTATTTATAATGGGCACAAGCCCACAGCACTCATCAGTCTACAAATTCACTCAATAAGGAACGGCTCTGTGGGAAAAGAGAATGTCACATAAAAAACAGTGCTCGTGTTGCCTCTCAAAGCTCTCCAGTCAGTCCCACTCCCTCATACGCCGATACATTTCTCCTTTTTGGACATGGTATCAAATTATGTCATAAAAGTTAGAATTTGGTCTGGAGTATGGTTCCAAGTGAGGAAGTGCACTAATTGCACCAACTGTTAAGATTAATATCAAACCGGTAAGCTTGTTTAAAGTAGGTCAGGCTGTAGGTACACTGAATCACACGGTTCCCCTGGTTAACTCAGACACACTTCACATGGTGGCCTTTGCAGGTTCACACAAGTAACTAATTTCCTGCAGATTGCAATATAAACTGCTTGTTTGCAGTCACTAATAATGACTGGGTAGAGGTAATGGATACCTTAGAAACAATTACAAGGCAGTGGAGTTCTGTAGCTTAGAACACTCGCTTTGCAAGTGAGAGGATCAGGGTTTGAATTCCGGCAGGGCGAAACGTTAGCCAGATTTCCTTACTCCACAAAACTCTGTTTACCAAGCAGTAAGTAGGTACCCAGTTGTTAAGTTGATCGCTTTTCTGGGAGTAATAATCCCTTTAAAATAAAAATAAATTGGTCACTCAATCCACGCCTGTTTGTGGGACACTGCTGTGCCCAATTTCGCCCACATATTCAATCAATCAGTCGATCCACTTTACATTATATTCTGTGAAGTGCTTTAAGATGTCTCAAAGATGTGATAATGTGCTGTATCAAATGTAAGTATTATTATTATATCCAATCGAGCTGCTGTCCTGATACACAAAATCATATGGCAATTCAGCTCTGGTTTAGATTCAACAATGGAAGTCATATCTTAGTTAATTTCAATTAGTTTCAAACATTGATGTGCAATGTCCTTATTGAAGGATGAAATGAGGATATTCCGTTCTACTTGCAAAATTTAGTGACTGTTGATCTGGACTGGCTTATTCTGCTCAATGCAATGATTTTCTATTTCTATTTATAAATGAATCTATACTGATCTATAATTTAAATTATTAAGCACAGGGAAAACTTGTCAACTGAGCAATTAATTTGCTGTTTATAGAAAATTTGACATGGACTATGATGTAATAAATAATAGCTGATTACAAGACCCTCAAATGTATGCACTAGTTTATTCTATATGTACAGAACTGAATGTCTCAACTAAAACAAACATTTCTGGAACTGTGTTTTCTGAACTCAATAGTACACTTCAATAAAACCATTTTAACTGGAAATACAGTAGATGATTACTCAGTCAATAGGAAGAGACTTAATTTTTGATTCAAAACGCAAATGGGATTTTTGATTACTTGACTGACTACGCAAAAGCATGCAGTCAGATAATTACGTACACTAGCGAGTTATACTAGCAAGTTGGCGAGACTGAACTATAGGGTAGCACTTTGTTTCTGTGTGAGATGTTATATATAAAAAAAGAACTTTCCGTTACTGGGTTCCCAAAACACTGAGTGACATTGCACTCACACACAGGGAAACAGCATTTGCAAGCACTTAGGATCCTACAGGGTGAACATTTAATTTTCTACTTCGCTACTACATCCCAGAAGAGATAGACACAAGAGAGAATTGCATTGGAATTTTCACCATCAGTTGCACAATCCCATTCTATCTAATGTTTGCATTACTAATGAGCTCATACAACTATTTGCACTGTTCCACACGCGGAAACTAAAACATTCGGGTGAGGGGAGGGAAAGATGAGAATCGAGCATTCCCACAAAATCTGGGTCATATTAATAATAATTCTTGCATTTGATATAGCACCTTATCACATTTTCAAGATGTCTCCAAGCACTTCCAAGCACTATATTTTACATACTGTAAAACAGTGACTGTATTTTGTGGATGAAACACAGCAGCCAATTGCACCCAGCAGGGTCCCAGTTATGGATTGATTGACCAAATTATTATAGTTTTTTTGAAGGGATAATTATTACCCCTGGAAAGTGATCCAATTGACTAACAAGAGGTTCTTACTTACTGCTAGGTAAACAGAGGCTCTGACCACGATGCTACAAGACTCCACATGGAGGATGGGGAAAGTTTTCTTAAGATCCCCAAGTTTGTACATTGCAGCCCTCAGACATTTGGGGCAGTTCACTGCACGGGAAATTTCATATTCCAATATGGACTCTCTCAAAAACCCTTAGGGAATTTTCTGGTATAACTTATGTTAACATGAGGAAGGAACAGGTATGGAGTAGATTTGTGTCAGAAACACACATTCCTCGAGAGAGAATATGAAACCTAAAGGAACAGTAATTTAAAAAGTATACATTTTGTGGTCTAATTGTATATAACCTTTTAAACAATCAATAACTTCCATCCAAAAGATCAGAGGACTTCTCTATCATTGGGAAGCTATATCCAATACCTTGCCGCTACTCTCTTGGGAGTAAATCAAAGCCCTCTCAATGGTTTGGCTGTAGTGCCTGAAGATATTTTTTGTAAAATGTTGTCTCCTTTTGTGCTTTTCTCTGAAACTGCCACCTATTTGGGTTGTCACCTTTAACTCCATTTCTACTGGTATTCAATCCAATGTATAAAGAGCGGTCAATTACTGAACTAAATCAGCAAACTACAAGTTATTAGAAGTCTACTTACTCCTCATCACACAAAGCCCACAATATTTTTCTAGCCCATCAACAATTTAACAGACTGACCTTTAAAATGTCACCGAGGCTGGAATGAAAATAAACTGGTGCTAATCCAGCCCTGGAAGCAGACACTCGCACCAATCCAGCAATTAAAGACAGTTAATCAATCAAATTTATATTGTAGCAAGTCAGTCTCAATTTATTCATACATGACTGAACTGTATAACATTGGAATAGAAGCCTGTTCACCCCAATGATATTGAATGAGTTAACCCAGTCTGACTATAGGATAGTGGTGGAAGTTCAAAGATCATTGAATAGGTCACTTTCACCAGATAGGGAATCACCAATTTGAGGTAATGTTTTTACCACATTTATTCTACAAATTGAGATTGCTGATTACAGTGCAGACGAGGGACACTCACCTATTAAATCTTGTCACATCTCATAGATGTATACTTGACATCTTCAGTCACATGACAGAGCACAAAACCCTTTTGTCATTTGTTAAGAATTAACAGGATTACTGATTAAAATGTGAAAGCTGGAAAAGTAAGAAAAAATTACAATACTTATCTCCCCTGCACAAAAATTACTTTACAGTAAATCCTGCAAAGCACGTTAAGCACCTCCCCCTGAAGTAAAAAATACTGTCCATCCAAAGATTTTTTTTATCTCAAACATTTGGCCCATTATGTCTATCCTGCGGTTCACTCTATGACTAGAGCACACATCCTTAAATATTATGAACTTAATTTGATTTTAAGTGGCATTTAATGATTTATTCTACTGAATTGTTAATTTATTGCACTGTTTGGTAGAAAACGTTACTTCTGAATGTCGAGGGCATCAAATATGTTCATAGGGCAAAACCGAGATGGTTGAAAGAAGATAAATGTGCCCTCATTGATTAAAGCGCTGCTGCTCATTCTAAGCTTACTGGCATTTTAGAAAGCTGGTATTAAATCTACAATTCTGTTCTTTATTAACCTTGAGAAGACAAATCTCACCAGTGAGTTAAAGACGTGCTGGAGTCTGAGTCAACAAGCTTAGAAGCAAATCGTTGAATCAAAGAATATATCTCTCTCCCACATGCATTGAATGCTTTTCAGATTGAGCTATTCTAATGCTTTACCCTGCAATGCAAATATATCTAATCTTATTAGATTAGAGTCCAATGCAAGCCTATTTTATATGTCCGTTTGTCACCCTTCTCTTCAGAATTTGGTTTCAACAAAAGAGGGGGCGAATTGTGGGTGAAATTCAGCAGCCAATTGCGCACAGCAGTGTCCCACAAACAGTCATGGATTGAGTGACCAAATTATTCTTGTTTTTTAACCTCACATGTTAATCTGCTTACTTTTGAGTTACCAAAATAATTTGCAGATTTTGCCTTAAAGCAGTCTACCTGGGATTCCTTGCTCAACTCTACACCACTCAACAACATGCCTATGGATTGCCATCACTTAGTCCACCCAAAAGCATTTTAACAAGAGCTTGTTAGGATAGCTGCTACTAGCAAGAAGCAATTAAACCACTCCTCAAAATGGCACACATGCAGCTCTAGATGCCTAGCTGGTGTCAACTACTCACCACATCATCAGGGATAACCAATTGGTAAAAGGGGCAGACAGCCAAGTCCACATTCTCTTTAAGACAATGCAACAATTTACGGTAAATTTGACATTTTATTTTTAAACAGCTTTCTATAAGGTACAGAAAAACAGAATGTGAAAAGAATACACAGACTTTCAACATTATGTTCTGTAAACAGCAATGACATAGTCACACAAGTTAAACAAATGACAAAAAAATCTTCAACATAATTATCACTGCTCAGAATTGATCAAAAAAGCTGAATTCAGCCCAGAATGCCTAGGGAACATCTAGGCAATATGATCAAATTTTGCTTACGCAAAAGACAATGAAAATATGCACCTTTTACAGGGCGTAAGAACTATGAGTATTACACAGCATTTATTCTAAGACTACCCTCTCCCAAATGAACTATAACAGGAGTGTGTGTGTGTGTGGGGGGGGGGGGTGCGGGGGAGGAAAGAGAACACAGAATAGTAATGTTCCTTCACTCCTCTTCAGACGACTGATCAATGGGGTATACCATGAACAGGACATCAGGCCGAGTTGGAACCGAGGGATGGCCTGGTCTCACAATCTCAAAGCCCATGAAGCTGAAAGTCCTCAAAAGCAAGGCTGTTAAAAGGAGGAAAAGGCAACAAATTAGTTTTAATTATTTGCACGCAGTGTAGTTCACATACTTTAACTACTATGGATCGAGTCCCTTCTTGTTCACTAATAGGAACTATTCAATCCTCAAACTTTCCCTTGATTTCTATTTCTTATTTTGCTCCAATTTTCATATGCAAATCCCAGCAAATCCAGTAAAGTTCTTACCTCGATCCTCTCTGTTTTTTAAGAAGCAGACAAATACATTTTCCACTTTCATTTTCTCCTCAGCATATTCTAACAGCACAGTTAACCTGTCAAATCAAAAACATGTTGCAAGGATAAAGGATTCACAAATAGTTTGCTCACCAATGCAATTTAAATCTGTAAACTAGTTCTCGGAAAGAGAATTATTGCATTCAAACTAAAAATTTGTTCAAAACAAAAAATCCCAGTTCTGCTTATTGATCTTGGTCAGGATCTTGAATACATCTATTCAGTGTGAACCACTCATATTCCATAGCTTCTCCTCATGCCTTGGTACCTAATTTAGCTGGCTCTTGCTATATCCTTTCTAATACAGTACTGCAAACTGTAGTCCAGAGACATGCATCACTGAGTGGGGAGAAAAGGGCATAGATTTGTACTAGAAAAAGATTGATGCAGCATGTAAAAACAGTAATACAACAACTCTGAAATGATGAGATTAAATTCTCAATCCTATCTGAATTAAATTTCTATCTTCACAGTATCAGAGTATTAAAGTTTTAAAGGAGCTGATTGAGTACAACGATTAGAAAGAAAGAAAAATCTCCCTTATTAAATGCTCAACTGAAAAGACAGGCACACAAGCAGATGGGACCACGGTGTAACCCTAACTTCTAGATCAATACCTCCAAAAAGACAAACATCCTTCTTCAGTCCAGATAGACAATATTGCCCTGATTTTGCTCTACTGCACTTCTATACATATCCAGCACACAACTAAAAGCACAGGTCAACATGGCTAGATCAGGACCCAGGACACTATCTTGAAAAAACTTACAATAATCAGAACATTGAGGTTTTTATATATATATATATATATTACACACACACACCACAGTGGCTGAAGCAAAAAATATCAACATATTCCATGGAAAACATGATGAATAAATGGAGAAGGGAATAGACTGATATGGGAAAGGTCGAGCCCCTTCACACTCAAAGTATAAACACTAGCATGGACGAGCTAGGATGAATGACCAGTTTCTGTGCTGTAACAGCACAACTACTCACCCTTCTTTGCTCCCTTCTGCTAAAATGCCATCAGGAATTTCCACAAAGAGATTCTTATTAGAAAAGAATGTATCCCACGTAGAGATCCTGGAATCTGTCAACTTGTACTGGAAATGGATAATATGCTGTTTTCCATCGACTGGTAGCTCTTGCGTTACAGTTAGCTTCTCATCCTGAAAGCAAGGAAAAAGGTCATGTCAATATTTTAGTGCTAAAACTTTGCTGAGGAAAATTCCATGTCTACTTAAGTTCTGGTGAAAGGTCATGCTGAAATATTAAACCATTTTTCATCTTTCAGATTATGGGACACGCTGGAAAGTCCAACTTTCCAAGTTTTGATTTGTAATGGCTGCACTGTCATTACATAGGTATGAATACCAAAATATCTCAACCACTAAATCACAAATGTTGAAATGTTACAGGCTACATCCAGGTCAGAGCTGTTGAACTCAAATAATACAATATTCAAATGCAAATATTATTGGGTAAAAACTGATCTTATATTCCAAATGCACTTTCATCTCCAATTTCTCTCCAAATAATAATCCCTCCAAAACCAAAAACAATAATAAATTGGTCATTTTCAATCTACGACTGTTTGTGCGATATTGCTGTGCGCAATTGGCTGCCGCATTCGCCCACAAATATACAGTCAATTCACTTTACAGTGTGTTCTGTGAAGCGCTTTGGGACGTCCTCCCGACGTGAAAAGCGCTATATCAAATGCAAGGATTATTATTATTATTCTCTCAGACACTTACAATATTTCAAGGCCAGGTGTATAGACAGGGTTGTTTAATCAAACTAAGAAGTCTCGTGGATTAGGTTTTCACTATCGTTATCGTTAGGCTGAAAATCTATACAAGAACATATAGAGAACAGCTCATGAAAAGAAATCTATCAACCCATCCTGACTGGTAAACGTATTATAGGGCTTATGCTGCAATGCACACTGTCCAGCTTCAGTCCTCTGAAATGACTTACGTAGAGATAGATAAAAAAGGAGTCACAAAATACAAGTAAAAATCGAATGAATACAGTTTTGATATGGATTTGAACTAATCAGACCTGCATACTTTCAACATCTGTTCAAGGCAAATGCATTAGGCTATTCAAAATCCAAAGACAAGAATCCTTGATTGATTTCCAAACCCTGTAGATAAGAGGTTTCCTTGCATTGATTGAATCAATTTTGAGGATAAAATGGAGGTCCAGCATTCAAATCAACCTCAACAGGTCGGATAAAACTTGCGTTTGCAAATAGATACAGAAACATCAAGTGAATAAATTTATGTAGCACCTTTCAAGTCAAGTCGGAAGGACGTTTCAAAACACTTCACAGTTGACTGTCAGCCAAGCTGCTGGAAATTAACAAGCTAAAACAAAATCAGGAGCTGAGTTGGAAGAATCCCTGACCCCAATGACCTGTCTGCCGTTTCAAGTCCTCCCAATGAACCAGGCAGACAATCTGTCATCAGCAGTGCATGGAGTGAAATAGACTGCCGAGACCACTGCAGAGAATTTACTTAATTATGACACTCCAGTGTTAAGCACATTAATGTGGAGCCAGCTCAACCCCAAGTAGACCCTACTTCCTTTCCCTGAGAATAGTCAGCTATTATGATTAGATCTCTTAGACCTTAAGAGTACTACTTGTTGAAGCAGGACTTGTTGAATTTACAATATACCCCCAACTTAGGCATCCAGAATTCAGACTGAATGGAAAATCAAAAATAAAATTCTGCGGGTCTGTGATGTAGACTCATCTCTCCCAACGTGTGCCCCTGTCTCACTGTCCTTGCTTGCCTTCATGGTAACCAGGGACATCAACTTTGATTCGATTTGAATTCTGAAAGGAGACGATGGCTTATTTGCTATCTTCTGCTAGTGGATTCAAACAATTACAATGCCATTACCTGCATTTTTCAGCACTGAAAAATGGTGGTATCGGCATTGTAAATACATTTAGCCAGAAATTCCGTCTCGCCAGACCGGACCTCCCCTCTATTAGTTCAGCTAGTTGGGTTTAAGTATATTGTCACAGCAGAAAACATAAAACTACTGTTCACTTAAAAAATAATTAGCTTGAAGTCATTTTAACCATCTGCTTAGCAGGATTGTTCAGTATGCTTTTGTGTATTAAAAATAAATACTTACCAAGTGTAAGAGAGCTGTAAGAGTGTGATCCCTTCCATTCCCTCGCCCATCCGGGATCTTCACTGATGGGTGAGGGACATCAGGAACACCACAGAGGCCCTGGACCGAGGTGCCTGCAGTACTGACGTTGAGAGGTGCCACACAAAGAAGAAACACTACTGCAAGAACGAAAACAAACAGTTATTAGAATTGGGTTCCATAATGCACAATGTGATTCTATAGGTAAAAATCTTATTTTTTTTAAACTTTACTTATAGTCAATACAGAGAAATTCAGATTCTTCACAGGTGTACTATAGTATGATCGTATAAACAAATTCTCATTTGTTAGATATTAAGAAAGCAATGAGAAATCTGTGCAAAAGCACTTAAAGCAAAAGGGAAAACAAACATCGAATCTTACATTTCTCCAATACTTCTTTTGACATTGGAGTAAATCCAGTTTCACACAAGATTGGGTCTGAAGCATGCAGCAACCCGTTTCATTGCTTTTCTTTTAAAATTCATTGGAACTACAGTATTATCAGTTTCAATAAAAGATGACTGCCAGCATTCAAATCAAGGATAAGTGATACAATAGACAACTGTCAAACCACAACCACACTACCACTAAGGACAACCAGCCACACAAAATGGTGTGTACATTATTACAGCGCAACTCTACTATATCATGGTCATTTGGGTTCAATCGCATAGACCCTACCCCCTGCACACAAAAAACTGCTGGATCTTCAAGTTGCTGAACTCACTTCTTGCATTATGGCTAAGAAGCACTCCTACATAAAGGGAACTAACTCAACAACAACAACAACAAGATTCCATTTATAAAGCGCCTTTCACGTCAGGACGATGTCCCAAGGCGCTGCACAGTTGGGTCAGGACCCGAGCAGGGGGGAAATGGTCAGGGTGAGGGGAGGGAAGGGAGGGAGCGAGGAGGGGGGAAATGGTCAGGGTGAGGGGTGGGAAGGGAGGGAGCGAGGAGGCGGAAGAGAGTCGAGAGGGGAGCTGAAGGCTCGGTCAAAGAGAAAGGTTTTGAGACCGGCCTTGAAGGAGGAGAGGGAGGAAGCGGCGAAGGCACTGGGGGATGGAGTTCCAGAGCCTGGGGGCTGAGAGGCTGAAGGCCCGACCACCGATGGTAGGGCGGTTGGGGCGGGGGATGCGGAGCAGACCGGAGCCGGAGGAACGGAGGGTACGGGCAGGTAGGTAGGGGGATAATAGGTCAGAGAGAGCGAGGCCGTGGATGGCCTTATAGGTGAGGATGAGGATCTTGAAATCAATCCTCTGGGGAATGGGGAGCCAGTGGAGGCGAGCGAGGGCGAGAGTGAGGGTGAGGGCGAGGGTGGGAGTGATGTGGTCGCGGTGTCTGGTGCGGGACAGTACACGAGCTGCAGAGTTCTGAATGACCTGCAGTGTGGAGGGAGGTGGCGGGAAGGCCGGCGAGGAGAGAGTTCCCATAGTCCAGCCTTGAGGTGACAAAGGCGTGGACCAGAGTTTCAGCCGCGTGAGGGGTGAGGTAGTGCCGTAGTCTGGCGATGTTCCGGAGGTGATGGAAGGCGGTGCCAGTTGTGGTGCGGATGTGAGGGAGAAAGGACAGCTCAGGGTCGAACAAAACGCCGAGGTTCCTGATGGCTTTGAGAGGTGGAGAGTGCGGATGCTGATGCTGTCAGCGCCTGAGGTGCGGAGGCGCTGACGTGAGCCAATCAGGAGGGCCTCAGTTTTTCGCACGTTGAGCTGAAGAAAGTTGTCTCTCGTCCAGGACTCGATGTCGGACAGGCAGCTGTCAGGACATCGGTGGTCGTGGAGTTGAGAGTAGAGGAGGAAAGGTAGAGTTGGGTGTCATCCGCATACATGTGGAAGTTAACCCCATGTCTGCGGATGATGTCACCACAGGGGGAGCATATAGAGGGTGAAGAGGAGGGGACCGAGGACAGAGCCCTGAGGGACACCACATGAGACAGTGCGGGGGGTGGAGGAAAAGCCATTTGTGGAGACAAAGTGAAGACGGTGAGAAAGGTACGACCTAAACCACTCAAGGACAGTGCCTTGAAGGTTGAGGTGGGAGGACAAGCGGTGGAGTAGGATAGCGTGGTCGACCGTATCGAATGCTGCCAATAGGGCGATGAGGACGAGGAAGCAGAGGGAGCCCTGGTCACAGATGGTTAGGATATCATTGGTGACCTTGACCAGGGCAGTTTCTGTGCTATGGGCAGCACGGAAACCTGACTGAAGATTACTACTGAAAACTCAGTAGTGCTTCCTACCCTACAGGATATGGAGTCCTGTAGCTCAGTGGTTAGAGCACTCGCTTTGCAAGTGAGAGACCTGAGTTCAATTCCAGGCAGGGCGAAACCTTGGGCAAGTTTCCTTACTCCACACAGAGCCTAATAATAATCCCTTCAAAAACCAAAAACAATAATTTTAATTGGTCATTTTCAATCTACGACTGTTTGTGGGACATTGCTGTGCGCAATTGGCTGCCGCGTTCGCCCACAAATATACAGTCAATTCACTTTGCAGTATGTTCTGTGAAGCGCTTTGGGACGTCCTCCCGACGTGAAAAGCGCTATATCAAATGCAAGGATTATTATTATTATTATTATTACCCCCAAGAAGGGTTCTGAGCAAAGATGAACTAAATATACTATATTAAAAGTAAACTTGTGCATTGGCAGGGTGCTTTATACACTATTTTTAAAAGAACATGTTTTTTGTTTATAAACTATTTATAAAACATTGGTTAGACTTCAGCTGGAGAATGTGTTAAGTTCTGGGCACCACACTTTAGAAAGGATGTCAAAGAATTGGAGAGGGTCCAAAGGAAATTTACCAGGAATGAGGGATTTTGGTTATGAGAGGCTAGGGAAGCTAAGACTATTCTCCTTGGAGTAGAGAAGGTTAAGAGGAGACTTAATAGTAGTTTTCAAAATAATGAGAGGATTCTTCACTTCGCCTCGCCCCCTCTCTGCCTACTTTCAGGTCCCTTCTGAAGACCTTTCTTTTCGACCGCGTCTTTGGTCATCTTCCTCCCCCTGGGTTGCCCCCGGGATTCCTTACTGTGAAGCGCTCTGAGACACCGTCCAGCATGGAGGGCACTATATAAATCCAAGTTGTTGTTTCGATGGGGTGAACAAGGAGAACCTATTTCCACTGGTGGATGGGCCAGTAATCCGAAGACACAGATTTGAAATAGTTGTTAAAAGAAACAGAGGTGAGATCAGGAGAAATTTTTCATACAGCGATTTGTTGGGGTCTGGAATACATTGCCTGAAAAGGTGGGGGAAGCCAATTCGCTAACAACTTTTGAGAGAAGTAGATAATTATCTGGGGAGGACACACTTGCAGGGCTAGCAGGGGAGTGAATTGTGCAGCTCTTTTCAAAGAGCCGGCAGACACAATAGGCCAATTGGTCTCCTGTGGTGTATAATCCTAGGAAGTTAGAATATGGCCCTGCAGCATCTAACCTCAAGAAAAAATACACTTCAATAGATACAAAAATATATTTAATAGTGACTTTTTTTGAGCCAAATCCCAACTGTGCCTTTGTATTTTTTTAAAAAACAAAACTTATCCTATACTCTGAATTCTTCAAACCTAAACGATATTCAAAATATTTTGACAAGTATTCAGTAAATTTGTTTAGGCTCATTAATCACCAACAACAGTGCCAGACAGTACTGTAGGTTTTGTAGATACAAGAACCTAGATGGCAATCATTAAGATCAGCCAAGATACCACGGTTGCCAGACGGCATTATACATAAATTTAACATTCAAAAGTAGGATATTTGTTACAGTAAACCCCATTAAACTGGATTCCAGATGTCCAGAATTCAAACATAGCTGGACTGGATTAAAAAAAATTAAAACATTTCGGCAGACCTGCATGTATGTAGATGGCCACTCACTGAGTGTGCCCCACTCCCCCACCTTCCTTGTTGACCATCAGTGGCCAGGCAGGGATATCGACTTTGAGTCAGTTTGAATCCTGGGAGCAGAAGATATTTGCTAACCCTGCTAACCAATTTTAGTCTGAGGACCAGATTCAACTTTGCTATCTACTTTGTGTGATTCAAACAATTACAATTATGTCCCTTGGATGCCTCCCAGAGTGGAGGGCGCTGTATAAATGCTTATAAATTGTTGTTGTATAAGGGATCTAAAAGAGAATTTAGAAGGAACTTCTTCATGCAAAAAGTAACAAGAACATCGTACTCACTGCTCGAAGCACACAGTAGAGATGCATTTAAGGCCAAGCTAAATACATTGAAAGAAGGGAATGGAAGGGTATCGGGTGGGTGGAGACTTATTCTTTTATTATTGGCGTTCGCCCACAAATATACGGTCAATTCACTTTGCAGTATATTCTGTGAAGCGCTTTGGGACGTCTAGAAGACGTGAAAAGCGCTGTATCAAATGCAAGGATTATTATTATCATGCGGAGTGTGAACACAGGAACAGACAAGTTGGTTTGATTCACCCGTTCCTGTGTTGTGCAGTCATTATAAATTTATGTAATGTTCTGTCCTGTCAAACATCAACCTGAATGACTTCCAGCTTTAATTGCTAAATGTAAACAAGAACACAGATCTCCTGTTTGGTTCTCAGAAGCACCTTCTCATCTCAGTTTCATCAATCTGCATCGTGCTCACTTTACCTCATGGCAGTGGAGTATATAATTCAATCCCTAGCTGTCTTTCAAACCTGATAAGTTGACTCACTTCCTCAGCTTCCATTCACCTCCACCACTAGCTGTCCTCCAGTCCATGTTCTCTGCCACACCAAGCTCAGCCAGTCCATCATTCCCACCCCTCCATTCTCCCTCGACTCCTTTAGCTATCCATTTCCCAGCAGACTGAATTCAAGATCATTGTCTGGATTTTCAAATTCCTCCATGGCCACAATCCACCCTAGCTCTGTGACTCTATTTGCCCAGCTGCTCTCTCCATTCAGCCTGCTTCATATGCCCCACCTCATCTCCTACCATTGAGCTTTCAGCCATTTCGCACCCTCTGTGGAACTCCATCCTGAAGCATCTAAAACAGACACATTCTGGTTACTCAATTCCAGAAAATATAAGGCAAAAACCAAAGCCAAGAGGACCCCATATTGTGCATTAGTGTACTGCTATAGTTTGTTCAGCTAAACCCACATAGGTCCCCCTAACAACACTGTTTTCGAGGTCCAGCTAGAACCATTTTACCAGTTTGGACTTTGGCTTACAGGATTAACAGAAGCCAAATGGGAAGAATTCCTGGGCAGTGACTTGTCTGTCCCTCAAAGCCTGCCAACAAGCTTACCGTGGACCAGTCTTGCTCAGGAATAGACAATCAAGAGCACACCCAGAGGATCGGACTCAATGCCGATATTCCATTGCCAAGCATATCAGGAGCCACCTCAGCCTCCATAAGTATAGCCACTGGCTAGTTAGAGAACCAACAAGCACAGGCACAGGAAGGATAAACCGAGCGCTTCACATAAGCCACTTGATGTATAGGATAACTCAGCATGAAGTGCTGTGTACAAATCTAGACATCAAACTATAGTAGTAATGCTCAGAAAGACTGAAGGTCAAAAATGGGAGCCTAAAATAGGAGGCATAAAATGCAAGTCCTGCAGATCCTCAAATGGGTCAGGCTAAACATACTAGGAAACTCAGATGCAAATCTCATTCCCAACTTCCATGAAGCCAAATTGCAGCCAAAGAAGGCTCCAGGGCAGGAGAGATCGGCTTCCAGATTCCAGAAAGTTGACACGAGGCAGAGCAAAGTACCAATAACGAGATTTGCAATTTACAAAACTATTTGAAATAGTACTTCAAATTGTCTGTTCACCTCCTCACATTAAGAAGCTGGATCCAAACCGTGGTCCTCCCAAAATATGCAATTATCTTACTCTCAGGTTCATCAACCAGGCACCTGAACAGTTCAAAAATGCCCCCTATTTATTTATTTGTTCCTAAAATGAGTTTATTTATGTGTTCCTAAAAACTTACAAGTTGCATTTCTCTGCTTTCATTTTGCTCTACGACTCATTACAGATGCAACACTAAAGTTGTAGAGTGTGCTTATTGCTGCAAACAGGTTCACGGATTGAAGACAAAACAAATCATGTGATTTTCCTAGCTAAACAGCACAGCTGAGGGGATTAGTGGCAAATACAGCCCAGATATTTCTGAATATGAGCGGCCTGTCTGAATCTAGATGTACTGATATTTTAAAAGTTTAAATTTTCACAGACACTTATTACATTGAAGATCTCAAAATGATTCGCGATTACTGTCAAGCATAGGTTTCTTGTAAGTGAATGCGGCAGCGATTTGCACAAGCAAGGCCCCATAAACAGCTACAAGGTGTACAACCAATGAATCTGGAGGATTGTTGGCCGGAACACCATGAGAAACCATTTTTTCAAAAATCACCGTGGGAACTTTAATAGGCACCTGAAACTATGCATAAAAAAGTAAAATAAAAGACTTTACAAAATTTATGGCATTGGCTGCCCTACAGTCGAAGAGGTTGATACTCCAGCAGTGATGGATGATCTTGGCAATTAGGAGGTGCTATCTATCGGCAATGAAATGATAAACAAAGGTCCTCCCTGTTCAGGTGGACATTAAAGATCCCATGACACTACTAGAAAAGAGAAGGGAATTTCTCTCTCCAGGCATCTTGGCCAACAAGCGATTCCCCGGAAACAATTGATCATTCCCTGTTTGTGGCCGCTTGTGGGACGTTACAAAATACAAAATACAGTCGCGACATTACAGTAAAACCATGCAAATAGACGCTTAGCAGTTTCAACATGACCAAACATGCTCTCCCACCCCCCACAGCCAACCGTCAGGAGCTGAAGCCTCTCCCCCCTCCCCGTGACGCCGAGCTCGTCTCTCTCTGATGTCTCCAGGCTCTCCTCCACACATCCACCACCACCCCCGCCCTCTCTAAGAGGCCAATCTCTCTCTCTCTCCTCCCCCCGCGGCTCAGCCGGGCTCTCTCTCTCTCTCGCCCCACCCCCCTCGGGTGAATTCCCCTCTCTCTATCCCTCAGATTAGGCCGGTCTCTCGCCCCGAGTAACACCGGGCCCTCTCTCTCTCTCTCTACCCCCGCGGGCCGAGCTCCCCCCCCCTCTCCCCGTGTGACGCAGGCGCTTCTCTCTCTCCCTCTCTCCGGGTGACGCAGGGCCTACTCTCCCTCCCCCCGGGTGAAGCCGGGCCGGGCCGGGCCTTCTCTCCCCCGCCCCCCGGGGCTGACCTGTCCTCTGTGTTGATCATGCTGTTGTTGGCCGCCGCGATGCTCCCGTGCCTGTCTTTCCCGAAGCAGTGACTGTTTAGTATCCGTTCCAAGGAGGTTTTCACCATCCGGACGCAGGCTGCCCGCTCTCTCCGGCTAATCTTCGCTGCCGTTGGTGGGGGTGGGGGGGAGGGGGGACCTGACTCTCGCTCTGTCACAACGGCCGCCGCTTCCAGAACCTTCTGGCCGCGCGCGCAGCCGCCTGGCGCTTATATAGCGGGGCCGCGGGGCAGGCTGGGAAGCGCGTGCCGCGACCGTTATTAACCCTTTCTCCGCCGCCCCCTCCCCTCCCCCCGCCATCCCCCTCCCCCCCTCTCCCTCCTCCCCCAGCCCTCCCCCTCCCCCAGCCATCGCCCTCCCCTCCCCAGCCATCCCCCTCCCCCCCCGGCCTCCCCTCCCCCCGCCTCCCCCTCCCCCCCGCCCTCCCCTCCCCCCTCCCCCCAGCCCTCCCCTCCCCCCACCCTCCCATCGCCCTCCCCTCTCCCCCAGCCCTCCCCTCCTCCCCCAGTCCTCCCCTCCCCCCTCTCCCCTCCCCCCCAGCCCTCCCCCCCCTCCCCCCCCCTCCCCCCCCCCAGCCTCCCTCCCCCCCCCCCCTCCCCCCCTCCTCCCCCCCCCCCTCCCCTCCTCCCCCCAGTCCTCCCCTCCCCCCTCCCCTCCTCCTCCCCCAGTCCTCCCCTCCCCCCCCTCCCCTCCTCCTCCCCCAGCCCTCCTCTCCCCCAGCACTCCCCCTCCCGTTCACCTCCCCCAGACTTCCCCCTCCAGCCCAGCCCTCCCCTCCCCCGGCCCTCCCCTGGAATAACAAGAACCATAATAATCCTGGCGGGACGTCTCAAAGCGCTTCACAGGAATAGACTGGTAAGCGAACTAACTCTATTGAAGGGGATTAAGGTGGAGTCCCGGCAGCTCTCAGCGGTTACAGCGCCCGTTTCGCAAAGCGAGAGGATCCGGGTTGGATCCCCAGACGGGGCGAAACGTTGGGCAGGTTTCCTTACCCTATGCGTCAGGTCGAGTAAGGAGACTTTGCCAGGGGGGACCAGGAAGAAACTGTTTCCATTGGCAGGTGGATCGGTAACCAGAGGACACAGATTTAAGAGATGTCAAAGCACCAGAGTGGGGGGGAGTGGAGGGGAAATCCTTTCACACAGCGAGGTGTTGGGATCTGGAATTCATTGCCTGAAAGGGTGGTGGAAGTCGATTTGATAACAACTTTGAAGAGAGAAGTAGATAGATATTTGGGGAGGACATGTTTGCAAGGCTATGGGGAGAGCGCGGGGAGTGGAATTATCGTGGATAGCTCTTTCAAAGAGCCGGCACAGACACGATGGGCCGAATTCTGATGCTGGAGTCACATCTGCACGGAATAAAGCAAGGCGAGGCGAGGCGAAACGTTGACTGGCTTAGCTGGTCTTAGGCGGTTGCGTTCCCGTCTTTGAATCGTGAAGGTCCCACTTCCGGACTTTGAGCTTCGCAATCCGGGCTAACGCTCCAATATGTTGCTTCAATTAGGTGCATGGTCGGGCTTCGGATAAACTGTTAAATTCAGGCTCCTCTCATTTGATACCACAGCGTGTCCTGGACAACAATGCCCCAAATAAAATTGGTCACATAACTCCATGGCTGTTTGTGGGATATTTTGTCTAAGCAGAAAACGCTGTGAAGCACTTTGAGACAGTTCCCCAGAAAGGCATTGTATTAAACGTTGTATTTTGGCTAGAGCACAGAAAGTTGAGAGGGTTTTATTTTTTGACAAGGTGAATAGGGAGAAGCTATTTCCACTGATTAGTGAGTTTGTAACTGGAGGGCATGGATTTAAAATCATTGCCAAAAAAAGAAAAGGGACAGATTAGCACAAATGTTTTTGTCCCAAGGAGTACTAGGTTACAATCAATTCACTTTTAGTTCACTTCACAGTATATTCTGTGAAGCGCTTTGAGATGTCTCGAAGACGTGATAAGGCGCTGTATCAAATGCAAGGATTATTATTATTACAGAATGCCCTACCAACGGCTGGTACTTTGGAACAGTTTTAATAATAATAATATAATCCTGGCATTTGATATAGCACTTTTCACGTCTTCTCGACATCTCAAAGCGCTTCACAGAATAGACTGTAAAGTGAATTGACTGTATATTTGTGGGTGAACGCGGCAGCCAATTGCGCACAGCAATGTCCCACTAACAGTCGTAGATTGAAAATGACCAATTTATTATTGTTTTTTGGTTTTGGAGGGATTATTATTAGGCTCTGTGTGGAGTAAGGAAACTTGCCTAAGGTTTCGCCCTCTGCCTGGAATTGAACTCAGGTCTCTCACTTGCAAAGCGAGTGCTCTAACCACTGAGCTACAGGACTCCACTGTATTATTGAATATGCCGAGCATATTCAATAATTTCAGAGATTTATTTTCTGATGGTCATCGCCCACTAAAACAAAAAGGAAGAGAAAATGACATATTACCTCCTAAACATCGTCTCCTGCCAAAGTAGTTCTTGGAGAATTAAATGACGAGGGCAGTCCCAATGCTGTAGTGGACAGAGCTGCAGCTTTCAACCCACAGCTCACTGGTTCGAATCCCAGTCTGTGTTGAGTTTACTAGTCTTAGCGTGAGAATGAGGATGCTAAATTGACCCTCGACTTCCCAGGGTCAGGGAGGATACAGCCTACTCCCTCTGGAGCCCCCTCTACTGGATATATGCATGTGGGGTAGCCAGTAGACGAGGGGTTGTGAAGTACTGACTGAAGTCCCGGCCTCTGTGTCTGTTCTGGTGGATGTTAAAAATCCCAACACCACTGTTTATAATAATAATAATCCTTGTATTTGATAATACATGATGCTTTATCATGTAATCAAGACGTCTCAAAGCGCTTCACAGGATATACTGTAAATTAGTTTGACTGTATGACCGAAACAAGGCAGGCAATTGAGCACAACAATGTCCCATAAACAGTTGTGGTTTGAGGGTTTTTTTGAGGGATTATTACCCTGGTAAGCAATCCTCCAATCAACTAGTTCCTACTTACTCCTAGGTAAACAGAGGCATGTGGAGTAAGGAAATTTACCCAACATTTTGCCCTGCTTGGGAATCTAACTCAGGTCTCTCGTCTGCAAGGCGAATACGCCAACCACTGTGCTACGGGACTCCACAAACTATAGAACTGAACTATATGTGTAAATGAATATGCAGGAAAACACACCAACTGTATCAGAGCATAGACCAGACTGGGTGCATTGTTTGTGCGTGAATCCTGTTGTAATATAATACTCCCCATCGACTTTGCTTGGTAACATAATGCAGCAAACCATATAATTAACATCTGCTAACACAATTGAAGTAACATGTGACATTTTTGAAACAAATGATATGTTTCCTATTTTCAACAACAAGTTGCATTTATGTAGCACCCATCACGCGGGTTAGCGTCTCAGAGCGCTATCATGAAGGAAACAAGAAAACAACTCTCCTGCATATATCCAAGGAAAAACACAAATAAAATTCATTTTAGAGTTATGGCGTATATCTACAGTCGAACCACACTATAACGACCACCCCGGGGACCAGCAGAACAGATCGTTATTTCATTGTGTCATATCAGTCTTGTCATTGGGATTGTTAAAACTGGGCGTTTGTAAAAGCAGGTTCTTTATACAACAACAACTTATTTGTAGTGAAGTTCATAGAATCAGGAGCAGGCCAGTCAGCCCCTTTAGCCTGTTCTGCCATTCTATAAGATCATGGCTGATCTGTACCTCAACTCCAATAACCCATATCTGTTTGAATAGTACAAATGTATACATATTGGTAAGTGAGCATAAATTCTCTCACCCCATGTTGGGGCTTGAGCCCACACGAGCCTCACAAAGTGACAGAGATGAATTTACATTATAGAATTTGCATTCAGTGATTCATCCACTAAAGTCGCCTGAATTAATACAATACAAAATTACATTTTTATAGCACCTTTCACATTGGGAGGATGTCCTGAGGCACTGGACAGTCAGGAATTTGGACCTGAGCTGAGGGTTGGGATCAAGAGGAGTGGAGGGCAGCAAGTTGGTAGGATGGCCAAAGATGCGGTGGAACAGGAAGGTCTTGATACGTGACTTGAAGGAGGCAAGGGATGGAGCGAGGCAAAGGGAATGTGGGATGGATTTCCAAAGGGTGGGGGCAGAGAGGCTGAAGGCCAAACCACTAATGGTGGAGCAGGCCGGAGCCTGCTGACCAGAATGAGTGGAAAGGGAGCGGAATTAATGGCTGTATGTTTCCTTATCGTAGCTCAGCTCAGCTTCAAAAAGTTTCCCCAGTGATTTAATTTGCCTTGGGTATTTGAAACAAACATAGGAAGAAAAAATATGCTAAAATTATTCTTTCAATTTAAAAATATTTATTCTAACTATCAGAATACTAAACAATACTAAGCAAATGGTAAACCTGTGAAACGGGTTCCCTAAGGAGACAGTTGAAGCAGTAAGTGTTGACTCTTTCAAACACAGATGAGATAGTTTTCTTTTAAGAAATAACATTATGGGATATAGTACATAGGTTGTTCGGGACATAAGTGCATGTGACTGCCAGGAAGGAAGGCAAACTAGATGAAGCTTTAGTCTTCTTTTCATCTAACATTTCTTATGTTCTTATGGTTCTTCTGTAATACTCTTTATTCAATGACTAATACTATTGATTTAGTAATCACTGTATTTTGCTATTCTCCAATCGCACCAAGGAATTCACAGCACAGAAAGCACCATTTGGCTCATCATGCCTGTGCTGGCTCCGAGAGAGCTAAATATTTCATCCTATTCTCCTGCCTTCCCCCAACATACACACCTTTTACATATTCTCCTGTTCAAATATTTATCTAATTCCCTCTTTAAAGCTAATATGGATTCCTTCTTAAAAGCTAATACAGCCACAGTTCCGCAGTGCTGGTCAAAGGGCAACATAGAGCATCACTCAGCAATTGCTCCTTTGCAAATGTGATAGAGAATCCGTTCCTTGGCGGTGGAAGAGAACAACAAGAGCAGTGTTTCAACCTTCTGGTCAGCACTTTACCAGCCATTATTTTCAGGAGCTAACAATTGACGATCCTTTTTGTATTGTGTAGGAGTCACGCTCATATGTGTACAATCAATAACCCACACATTTAGATTCAGCTGCTTCATTAGGCACCACACAGCTGATTCTTAG